AATGAATACGAGGCTTCAAATACCATGTTAATACAATTTGATTTATTGACATTAAAATCAAAATATTGCCCCTCATCAACTACATTTTAACGTTGTTACACCACAAACTTATAAATAAATACTGAAAGTTGTATAAACGCAGAAAAAATGCGAAAGTAAAATCCCTGTGCTCCGTATCTAGGGACAGCATAGCAACGTTGTCAGAAAGACCACGTGATCAAATCCTCAGAACTTTTTTTAATTGGATCTTGAAATCCATCCGCGCTATCATTTTTGAAAACTATTTGTTCGATATTCTTGCAGTATTTTTCCAGCTGTGGTGTTTCTTCTGATTTGTCTTACTGTGAGCTTATTGTTGGTCTGTATTTAGTTATTATTCTAGTTAACCTGGGAACTATATTGAAGGAGCGGCATTGTACATTTATTTATGTGGTGTGAGTCGGTCTGAAGGGTCTCCCATAGTTCAAAATTCCGTTTGGCTCGTCTGGGAAAGGAAATACCAATCGTTCTTGTGTTGTCTGTAAGACGTCGTGTTCTCTGGTAAGTATATGCCATGTAATGTCTCCATTGGTAGTCGCAATCCTCTGCGTGTATTCATGTTTTGCGTCCGGATACGCGATTTCCTTTCTGATGCGACGCGAGTCTGTCGAAATATTGCAGTTCTAGTACCATGACAGAGGACTGCGATTAGATACACTGTACCGGTATATACCATGGACCGTTAGTGCTATGCATACATACAGTATGGATGGCGCAGTGTAGGTTACTTTTATCGTAGACATGTTACTAATGTTCCAAGTGATTCGACGATCGGTACAACATCCGTCTCCATGTATATAGGCGGTTAAAGAAATGTGGGAAGCCCAACTAGAAAATCGAGGAACTAAATAATGTTTATTTTTTTTAATTTATGTTCGACTTGCATAGAAATGATAGAGGTACAACAAGTCATTTAATGAATTATGGCCCAATTATGAAATAATTAATTTATTTAAATATTCTAAATAATCAGGACTGACAAAAAGTATACTGTAGTTTAAACTACTCTTACATATGTCTGTGACAGGATGTAATTTAAGTTGTTCTAATAGTTAGTGTTTTGAATAATTTATGTGTTCACTTAAAAACAAGTCATTTTAAGTGTGACGAAATCGTATGCTGTTAATTCTCCTTGATCTCTGGATTTACTTGTATTACTTATTCCAATGTCCTGTTTTGAAGGACAGTGCTAATTTTTATTATGAAGTTGGTCAAACTTCAAAGACGAAATGTAGGAGATTTTTGTTTCAGAATAATATTCTCGCAGCAAAAATTGTTGGTGTGTAATAAGATGGAACTACATTGGTAATACTCAGCCAACTTTTGTTCCTAATGAAACATAATATTTTACTAAATTCCAATTACTGCATGTGGTTTTTATTTCTAGTCAGTTCAGCACTTAAGGCATAGGGTAATAATTGTGTTCATTTTATTATTTTGATGTAGTGACTATAATGACTAACATGTAATTGGTGTTCTTAATTATTCTGTAAGTGTCACACTCGTCTCACAGTGCACATTCAAATTCGGTGAAAATAAACAATGCGTATACGTCACTATTGGATTCATATTGAGCACAACTGTGACAAATGCATGATAGATCACAAATATAGACCATTTTTCTTGTCTTTATTTAAGTCTTTGAGAAACCCTGTTAAACTTAAGAGAGGTCTTTATAAATCATATTTGGATTGAGCAGCTTTGTTGCTGTTGTATCATACATGTGCATTTGTGGCTGGTAACTTTTAACTTTGCTAAATTACCAGGTCTTCATTATATCCTTCACATTAATTTGTTGAATGTGTGAGGGACATCATGATCTGATAGCCATCTTGGCCACAACTATGAGTAGAAGTGATTGACTTTCCTAACATAAACCTTTTTCAATGCGCATTATATTCTTTTTTTTATTCAGATGTTTTGCTAAACAGACAAAGTGGTCTGTTGTTTTTTGATTCACGATGGTGAGACTGAACATTGATCTTATCTCCAAGACATCCAGTCATGGACGGAAAAAGAGAGATGAAACTTTACAGCATTACCTGAAGAGACTCACACATCTGTATTTTGCTGAGAAAGGAATTGACGAAATTGTAAGTCTCTTAAAGCTTATCTCTTTAAAATGCCATAATAGTTGTTCCTGTTATAATTTGAATTCAACATTTTGTACATTTTCTGCAATTTCTGTTAATTTTAGTTTTACCAGGGGTAATACCATAATTCTACAAGTCTTAGTAAACATTTTTAAACCAATCTGGGGAAAAAAATGTGCAGGTTTATTTGAGGTGAAATAAGTTGACTTTGACGTTGAAAGGGTAAAGCAGTGAAAGGAACCCCCAGCTGTTACTTGTTGTTATAGCCTCTGTGTTTATCTTCAGTCATTTAGCATCAATTGTATTACTTTCCAGGCCATTAGGCCAGGCTAGTGTGTTTTCACCTCAGTGCTTTATTCCGGATAGAGCTAAAATACTATAAAACACTTTGAAATTGCAACATGCCATGTTATTGAATTTGGGCGAATGCACAAATTATCAGAATCCAAATTTCCAACAATCTCGTGTGTGAGAATGTACTTTCTTTTAAATTAGCTACATTTTGAACTTGCGAAAATACAGATTAGCTAAATTAGCTAAATTAAGATGCTTAGCAAAAGACATGTTTCGCAGTTTCTTGGCCAACATTCTACCCAGAATCAGGTGGGTTAATTAATAAAGTTACTCTGAATTATACAAATCATTGTGTCATGTTTTTCTTCAGAGTCTTTTATTTGTCTGTAAGATTTTCAAAGTTGAGTTTAGATAAATATTTTTTATGAGCAGTTCTACTTTTTAATTAATCTTAACATAACAGTCTAAAATGATCAATTCAGTCTAATGGGACTGAGTAGGATAATTCGGTTTACAAAGGTTGTTTGCTACATAAAAAAAGTTCATGGAGAAGGGTGTGTGGTTTATACATACATGTAATATGTTTTGGAGAGGTTTCATTGTGTACTTGTGTTACCTACCAGTACTTATAAGAAAGGGTCAGACAGAAATGTAATAATAATTTTTCTATCTATATATATGTACAGTATATAAAGATGTATCAATTCTTTGAAAATCTGGCATTAGACATATTGTACATGTGTATTCTCACACACAAGCTTAGCTACAGTAAATCTGTGTGTAACTTAACATTTAGCTGGCTTGATACTAGCTTAGCTTGCTTTTAAAATCAATATACTGTATATCTAAATTAATCTGCCTAAATATGTCTCATATTAAAATATTAGTAAAATATTACAAAGAATGAGTTGTAATTATTTATGAAAATAATATTCCCTTTAAAGTTTTGTAAGGCTTTATAAAAATGACATGGGGAACCTATAACCATAGATCTGTTGTTCAAATTATTGCATTTTGTACTTGAATCATGTCATTTTTGAAGCAATTAAGGTATTTTAGTTAGTAAATTGCTTTACAAGAGTCAAAATTCTGAATTTTCTAAACTGTTTGAAAACGTGTGATACTAAGTGGAAAACTCATTAACTCATTAAACGTTTTGCATGATTTCGCGAGTGCTGTCGACAGTGTAAATTGTTTATTCATTAATAGGATTGTGGGAGGATTATAACCCAGGTTAAAACAAAAGAAATATTGTAGTTGCCTGTCCCTCTCTTTCTTCTAGAGGTCTATACTATAATCAGTTGGAGGGGCACTTCCAGTTAAGCCTAATCTCACAACAAATTTACTTTCTAGATTAAAATTACAATGAATAAGAAAAGATAGATTAACATTGTAAACAACATAAACAATAGTATCCCATGATTCCCCTTTATGTTACATGTAATCTCTGAATGTACTGTATTTAATACATGGACGTTAATGCTTCACCAAACTTTCAAAACTTTGAAACCTTGTCACTTAACAAAAATAACCTTTATTTGTTACTATGTATCCTGTATCTAAGTTACAACCAACCGAAAGTTACCAGGTAACCATTATCATAATTATTCATCATAATATAATAACTTGAATGAGGTAGAGCCTATAATTGAAGCAGTATTGGTTTTGATAATCAATTTATCTATTTACATTCTCTGTAAATGACCTTTGGATATTGGTGTTATTCAGTGTGTACATTACAGAGACATAGACAGTCTATACTACTGTAAAATTACTAATTTTCACTGGGTTTAAATTTCACTGATTTACCATTTCAGGCATATTCAGTGGGTTTTAAATGCACTGTTTCATCATTTACTATTAGATAATGTGTTCTATGCTCAATTTTACATATTCACTGGGTTTTAATTTAGCACATTTTCCATGCAGCGAAATAAGCAAAATTAAAACCCAGTGAATAAATAAATAATCATTTTACAGTATACAGTTTATTGAAACAAAAGAGTAGGTGGTTGGGAAATATTTTATAAGTCCATAATCAAATTAACATATTCAAATTAACATGTAGAAAATTTGAATTTATAAATTTTAGAAATAACAAGTCACTAGTTACATGTAGCTGATTGAATCAATGTTTTCACTAAACCTCTCCCCAGGCAATACGCTTTGTCGTGTAACTTCTATTCATATCAATCAATTACTGACAATTCATTCTATGACATGTTGTGTTCTTTTGTCTCTTTAAAAAACTTTTTACACCCTTTTAGGTCTTCAGAGTATTTGGTTTTTAAATCAATTTAAATGCACGGGGAGTTTTTCACGGGGTGGATGAACCCTATTAAAACCAATTGCACCCTTGTGGGCTTATTTATTGTAATCCTGAAGTCTGTCTGAGCACCTTTTACAAATACACACGTCATATTGTATTCGTCTATACTAAACTGTCACAAGAAAGTGCATGTGATATAGAAAGTTAGTTTCAATGACTACGTGTACTGTCATGATCCTTCTTTTAATTGGACCATCAACAAATAATTATTTTTAAGAGTTGCTAATTATTTATTATATTTGTTAGTGATTGAATTGTTATGGTGGGTTTTAGTCAATGGTAAACCTGTGTTAGTGACCACCTCTGAATAAAGACCACCTGCCTATAGTGACCACTTTTAGGCAATTCCAAGGCAAATGTGTTAGCAACCTGTCTTACTTAACTACCCTTTCAGCTATATTTGTTTAGAGACCAATATGCCAACAGTAATAATTAGCATTCTCTTTTTTAGCTCCGCTGTCGACTTTGTCGAGCGGAGCTTATCATATGAGTGATTGTCCGTCGTCGTCGTCCGTCGTCCGTGTCAATGTTTTACTTTTTCGACTTCTTCTTGAAAACTACAAGCCTGAATGCTTTGATACTTGGTGTATATGTACCTTGGGTAGACCTCTCTCAAGATTTGTTCATTTCATG